TTTATCTCCGTGCTTGGTCGACGCTACGTACTATACGTATAGAGAGGACTCGACACGCTAGCTAGTAAGAAAATGAAGGAAAAAATTAAGTACAAAAGATCGTCATGAACATATACAGAGAGAAGTGATCGACCTCTCCTTCTCCGAGAGATTGGTCGAATAACAAGTTTTCGTATATCTATCCGACGCTACTGGCTATATATATATATATATATATATATATATATATATATATATACAATGTAAGATCTCTTACAATCCCCTAGCATCTGAACTCAAGTTCCACATGGTATTCTCCAGCTTTATTGATGACGTGGTCAACAAAGAATCTCACCAATTCCTATTAAATTGCTTTGATGCGATCTTATGGTAGGAGTTCATCCCACATCTGCCACATCTAATTTGAAGAAGGGGGTCAGTACATATATATGAATGAAACTTAACACAAATGATGGAAATAAAATGAAATTGTGAATATTATTGCTTACGCACATCAAATTGTCTTTTAGAGTAACCCCGGTTTTTTTTGCAAGTCGCGTTGTAGATGAACTCACAAACGTAGTATCCACAGTAATCATTCCCGGGTTCCTGCCACAAGCACTTTACGAGAAATAGAGGTCAATCAAACTGATAATGAAGCATTATAAATGGTATTAATGAAAGTAGCTAGAATCAACGGGATCGAGATGCACGGAACTAGCTAGCTAGTATTACTTACTTTCGGGTATGTCCATCGCAGCTCCCCCGGCAGTCCCGGAGCTTGTGCGATGAATACTTTCCAAACCCTGTGAGACAAAGAAAACAATTACTTGATATCAGGAAATGAATAAAGTTTTCGATATGGTGCGATAATGATCGATTGAACTTACTTCTCGAGAATTTTAGTCATGTCCGCATAGTCCTCAGGAGATTTTCGTCTCGAGTCTAAGATGGTTAGTCCCTGCTCAAGCTTAATCTCTAGGAGAATATAGTGGAACCTGCGCACGCATGCATAACTCATCAATTACATTACTATAACCTCGAGTAATAAGGGAAACTGAATATGCACAAGACAACAACACTCACTTGAAGTTGTAAGGAAAGAGTATTTTATCTTTGTTTTGATTATGAAGCAACGATCGTAGCATGTTGGCCTCGGTTTATTTGGCATCAAATTAACCATATATTCAT